TTAGGTATGCAGTGCTGTGAAAGGCAGTTCTGTCCGTCCTTAGGAGGTGCTCTGCCAAAGAATAAAAATATACAGTGTGTTTGAGCAAACCATTACCATTTCCATACTAGACAGCATCTGGACGGCTCCAACCCAGCGACAGAATGCATTTCCTTCTTCTTCTACTAGGTATATGCTTCATTCTATATTTTCTGGAGAAATCAATACAGCCTAGCTAGAGGTACATCTGTGTTATTTGCTGCTTTAAATCCCTTTTTATTTAGCACATTTTGATTAAGGTGAGAGATCTATTTACAGTAAAGGGTCAATCACTTAGTTCCTGGGAAAGATTCTGTACTTTTAGGGTTGGTTTGCGCATTCACGTTGACATTTTCATGCATGCTTTTTAGTTGTTTTTTTGTTTGCTACTCTTTATTTAAAGCAGTCTGGAGCCACGTTTGTTTTGGTGCGTTTCAGTGCAAAGAAAATCTAGCATGCTGTATTTTTATTTTTTTTAGATGCACTGCAACGCATCACAAAAGTATAAATAAGACTCATCTACAAACATTGCTTTTTTAATGTATATGCATTTGAGAGGAATTAAAATTGCACCCGTCTGCGTTTGGTGTAAACGAGCCCTTAGTGTGTTTAGGCACGCTGTGTAGGTAGATTTAGCTACATTTCTTAATATCATTGTACAGTTATAAGGTGCATATATGATCAAGGTGACCGCATGCAAGCAGATTTTTCATCCATGGCAACAAAAGATCAATGAATTGCCCTTTTTTCTAGATGATCGCTAAGCACTTCCAGTTGCTGCAGCAGCTCCAAAAATCTCTATTATTTGTCTTTCTATAGATTGATTGATCTGATACTGTGATACATACAAATGTGCATCACATAATGCACACTCACACACAGAAAATTGTTCCTTTTTATTGTTGATTATTACTTTCCAAAGTCTTTTAATCTTCAGCAGAAATCAGTTTTCATCTGAAATATTTGTCCATTTCTTGCCATCATATTGTTGCCAATACCACCATTTGATTAATGCAGTAGATGAGTGAACCCATTGAAACTACAGTAAAAAAAAAACACACATCTAGTGCATGGGCAATCGTGAGTTAAAGTGACACTAAACTCGGGTGTTAAATCTTAAAAATGCATTCAAGTACCTTAAGTATTATAAAAAATGTACCTTATTTGTGTATCACTCGGCTGTAGATCCTCAAATCATCTCTGAATTGGTGCTGACACTGTCCTTCCTTAGAGGGTGGCTACTTTTGTTCCCCATGGTCCTTGTGTGTGTGTAAAGTAGCCAACGCTCCAAGCTCACTCCTGGGATGGACTACAATCTCAATATACATTGATAGACTAAACATGAGATTATAGTCCATCACAGGAGTGAGCTTGGAGCAGTGGCTACTTTACAACACACACAGGGACCATGGGGAACAAAAGTAGCCACCCCCCAGAAGGAAGGACAGTGTCAGCACCACGTCAGAGATGATTTGAGGATCTACAGCTGAGTGATACACAAATAAGATACATTTTTGTTAATTGTTACTTGAATCTATTCAGATTTAAATCCTGAGCTTACTTTCACTCTAAAGGTGTCAAAAAATGTTTTAATTACCATTAATGTCCGATCAGATGCTATTATTGCAGGCTTAGTTCTATTATATATTTTGACATTTGCTTGTGTGAATGTTACTATTTAATTCAAGATTACCCTCAAAGGATGCCTAAGAAAAATGGAGGCTGCCAGTTGCCTGTCTCTCACTTTAATCCTCTTGGAATAACTGACCAGGGAAAAGTATGCAGCCAGTGATGGAATAAGGATGTTGGAACTCCTGATCTGCATATTTGTTCCAGGTCAGTCCCATAAAGTAGGGAAGCCATGAGATCATCGGGGCAGCCAGGCAACTAGCATTTTTAGAAAACCATTCATAAAGCCAGCCGCATATGTCCACCATTTTTGCCTTTATTTTCACCTGGTGACTCTGCCAGTAACGCACTTCCTGTCCTAGGGTGACAAAGCTTATGCATTGTACTATATACCGTGTTTCCCCGAAAATAAGACACTGTCTTATATTTTTTTGAGGCTCAGAAAACACCTCTAGGTCTTATTTTCGGGGTAGGTTTTTTATTTTAATGCACAACAGTCCACACTTATTCCTGTGCAACAGTCTACATGTATTCATGTACAAAAATATGGTGATCAGGGGTGCCGTACCATTCCAAGAGCAATTTGCTAACCAATCGCTGGCCAGAATGAGCGAAGCGCACTTTCACTATCGATTCCTCACAGGCGGAGTGCATTTGTCATCACTCCGCCTGTGACAGGAGCCGGCGCTATAGCGGAAGCATCAGCTTATGCGGCTCTGCTCCCTCCGCTGCCGCCTCGCTTCCTCTAACGCTGGCTTCATTGGCACCGCTGATTCTCTCCCACGGATCTTCAAGTTCCCCCTGTATGCCACCACCGGCCTTGGGATTGATCACAACTAGGTCTTATTTTCGGGGTAGGTCTTATATTTTAGCAATTCCCAAAAATAGTACTAGGTCTTATTTTCAGGGTAGGGCTTATTTTCGGGGAAACAGGGTATATGGAGGAGTATTGCTGTCTCTGTAGGACAGGAAGTGTGTTACGACCACAGAACAACTCCCCCTCATCTCCATAGCATAAGGAAAGGTGTTTTGACATTAGCCAGAACTTTGAATTCCATTATTCACAGGGTATGGACAGAACTGGGAAGTCTGGTACATTCAGCAGGTATTTGTTATGTCAAACAAACACAACAAACACTTTTCAGTATATAATAGTTAACATACAAAAAAGGAGCAAATAAGTTCACAGTTAGGGTTAGTTCACCCCATATGCAGTGCGTTCCGGTCCAATTCTGGCCGGAACGCACTGCATCACATTCCGGCCGGCTCACTTTTTTGTGGGGCAGGTGGGGGCGTGGCGGGCCATTGAAGTGAATGGCACTTCCCTCCAGCCTCAATGCGATCGCCCCCGAACGATATCGCAAGGCACATTGTGCCTGCGGTCCGGTGCCATCAAAATGTTGCTTACAGCATTTTGATCGGACCGCAGGCAGAATGTGCCTTGCGATCCCACGTGGCGACCGCATTGCGGCCCAGAGAGCGTGGCTACGATACCATTCACTTCAATGGCCCGCCATGCCCCCTCCTGCCCCACAAAAAAGTGAGCCAGCCGGAATGCGATGCAGTGCGTTCCGGCCAGAATCGGCCCGGAACGCACTGCATATGGTGTGAACTAACCCTTAGCGTTCACATACACTCAAATTAAAGCCACACATAGAGCTCTCTTTAATTGGTCATCTACAAATCTCTTCACATAATATAATAATAAAATATGAAAGCACAAGCATGTAAAAAAGTGAGATTCATTTGCAAACATACATACATTAAAAGTCTTCACTTAGAAAAGTATGTTGCAAAAGTACCTTAAAGTTGGCTTCTGAAATCAGGTCACATGATCTTGCTGTCTAGCTTCCCATTATGAAAGATGCAGCATAGTGGGGGGGCTTGCTGCAGAGGCTTTTGCACCAGCTGCTGCTCAAAACATACAGTGGCTAGTGTGCGGTGCCAGACAAAGTACCGATGCATCGATCCCGGCACATCACACCGTGTACTTTTTTAGAACTTTATTGAAATTCATAAGTTCTATGGACACAGCGGTGAGTGAGTTGGTTGTACTGCGTCGCATCTCGCTGCACTGATAAAGTACGACATGCCATACTTTTTTTTCAGCGCGTGCACATGCCCATGGGCTGCGGTACTGTGAACCGAGCCCATCCATGACAAGGCAAATTGCCCTGTCTTGCATTGGGGCTGTGCTGGAAACAACAGCCAGCGCAGCCCCACCGCATATGGTGTGAACCCACTCTTAGTTAGCAACATGTAATGTAGTCACACAACGCTAGGGAGAATATAAATTATGCAAATACTCACCTGACATGACAGAATAGCTGTCAATAAGCCTTTGTGGGCAGAGGGAGAGGTGGGTACAGGTAGATATCACCGGAGGTGTCTGCCGGCAATGCACATTTTGAGCCGTGGTGCCACCAAAATTGGCATAATCTCTCTTAAGGTCCCAACACACCTTGCCATAATCGCGGGAAATACCGCGATCGTACGATTATCGTAAGGTGTGTGGAAGCCGTGCGACCTCTACTACTGTAAGGTCGCACAACTTTTAACTTATGAACATGTTCGAAAACCCGCAGATCATCGTACGATGTTCGGCGGGTGTGTAGCATGTTCGTAAGATAAAAGCCGGACGGGCCGGTGTGTGCAAGCGCACACTGCCCGTTCGGCATTGCGGTCATCGGCAGCCCGCCCCTCAGGGGGGCGCGGCTTGCGATCATCGCAAGTACGATCTGCCTGTCCAAGATAGGCAGATCGTACGTTTTTTTTTATGTACCTTACAACCATCGCAAGACAAAAGTCTTGCGATGGTTGTAAGGTGTGTGCCCAGCCCTAGTATTAGCTTCTTTTTCAGGTTTTTATTGCTTTATTCTTACCTGGTGATCCTGTCAGTAATACACTTCCTGTCCCGGGGTGATAACAATCATCCACTATACAGTATCTATGGAGGAGCAGTGTTGTCACCCTAATCCACTCACTCCTGGTTTCAGCTACAGACCACCACTCCTTCTGCTCATCTCTATAACAAAGTGGGGAGTTTGTTCTGTAGAACACAAAGGTGAACTGGGCAGGACTGATAACACTATAGAACTATACAGTACAGCACTGGATTTCTAGCAGGATCATTTTTTATTGCGATTATCAATCAGATATAAGAAAACATCTTTTATTGAACAGACCAAAATGACCCAAATAAGAGCATCACATTGCTAAGGTTTACATATACATTAATATACATTAAGGATTGCTGCCGATGATCTTCCACTTTTCATACTCATTTCAGCTTGTATTGCTTTATTAAACACACTGTAACCCTGATCCTTGTTTGTATTTTTCTGTCTCTGCAGTCACCAGATGGTTGCCTGTCAGTATGCAGCTTAACTCTCAGTCACACATGCTCCCAGGTAATGTCTAGCATTGTATTGAATCATTTTACCTTATTATACATATAAAGAAATGCTTCTTTACAATTACATATATTAACCTGGGGCTAAACTAGTGGGGGATCACAACCTAACTAACAAATGAATTCAGCAGCTGTGTATATCTGAACGCCTATATGTAGCTCAGCCATGGAAGCAACCAGCTGTGTCTTCCTCAAGGACATTACATGCCCAGTGCATGATAAAAAACCTCCGGCCTCACAGACACTAGCAGACAAAATCTGGGCTTCTAGGATCGGGGTTATGCTTGTGTTTTGCTGGTGCAGTTACTATATGTTTGTACTGACTCATGTCTGCAAATTTGTAAAGCTGAAGTTTACTATTTTTTGGGGGGGAGGTGGGGGGCTACAGCATGAAAAACACGTTACACCAGCATTTCTCAACCTTTTTTCAGTTGCAGCACTCTTTTAGAGCCCCTTCACACCACATCTAGATTACCTCCAGACCAGACTGTTCCCTGACCCAAAATGGATCCCAATGTATCCCTATGCTATTTCTGGCCTCTGTTCCCACCAGCACAGTCCATTCCAGACCAGGATTGCACGGGAACGCATCAAAAACGCATAGAACGCACTGGAACACCCCTGAAAAACCATTCTAAGCTTTTTTTAAATAAAATCCAATCGTGGCAAAAACGCGGCACAAATTCAATGCACTATGTTCCAGATCTGGTCTGGAAAATGGTGTGAACCCAGCCTAAAAGCATGCACAATCTCGGGACACACCGGTCTAAAATGTAAAAATGACGTGTGGTTTCCCCCCCACAATCTATATCCTAGATAAGGGTCTGGTATTGATTTTAAGGGGGGACCTCTTGCAAAAAATATTGCAAGGACGGGGAGTTCTCCCCTTCACATTCGATACCGCCCCTTCATATCAGTAGCCCTCTTCCCTTTTGGAGTCACCCCCTCCACATGCAGAGTCCCCCTTTAAATCAGACTCTTACCTTAAAATCTTCACTGCAGTGTAGCTGCAGCCAGGTGGGAGGTGGAGCAGGTCTGGATGGAGGCAGACTTCTGTGCTCCTCGAAATGCTGGGGAGGTCCAGGATACCACCTTAGATTAGCGTGATACATTTCCATGGTACTGGTGGCTGGCTCGCCTGCACCATGGAAATGCATGACATTGCAAACATTTCAAGGCACCCCCGACAAACACAGAAGGCACCCCAGGGCGCCACGGTACCCTAGTTGAGAAAGGCTGCAATAGATATATGTAATGGACTGTATCCCATTAATTGCAGCTGCTGCTTCTTCTAGAACTCTTCCCCGCACTGCCGCCAGATATTACACTCATCTGTGCTATGACAGCCGGTAGTAAGAGAAGTCTGTGAGCTGCTACTCTGAAATGTTTCACCACTGACCCCACCACCCACCTGCCCTCTTCGTCATTCACAGAACTCAAATTACTATTATTCCACAATGCATTGCATTCTGTGAATGGAGGAGGAGATTCTATCTGTCAGCTGCTCCTCCATTCACAGAACGGGATGTATTGTGGGATAATAGTAGCACAAGCTTTGTGAATGTCAAAGAGGGCACAGAGGTAGAACCCATCAGACTAGCTGCTCACGGATTCCCCGCACCACAGCTCAAAGTGTAATATCCAGAGGCTGTGAGGGGAAGATCTGTACAAGAAGTAGCAGCATGTAAGGGGATACACACAATTACACTTATCCAATATGATTGGGGCTTTAAAAACACTTCAAGTTCAGAAAATGCCTGTTGATGCTGCCACAAATTTAGTGAGCTTCTACATTCCTGTTTGAGTTGACAACACAGTGCTTATGCTGCACTAAAATCTCAAGCACTGTTATCAGCTTTACCTAAGTTCTCCCCAGTGAAGTACAGAACCCCTCCCTGTTATCAGATGAGGAGAGGTGTTCTGTAGTTCAGCAGAGAATAACTGTGCAGTGCTGACAAGACTGCTTGGAATTTCTAGCAGAAGCACTGTGTTGCCGGCTTAAATATGAAGTTAGAAGATCTCCAAACCTCTGGTAGATCAACAGGTATTGTATCTATATCTGCAGTATTTTTAAAATGATAAGCCATGGGGATATATACATGTATTTATGAGATGTACTGACAGGGCCAGATTTACTCTCTCTACTGCCCCAAGGCCAGGTTCCTCTAGGCGCCCCCCTCCCCGTAGGGGAGGCCCCAAGTCCTCCAGGTGCCTGCTCGTATTGAGATTATTTTCAGCATTCTACTTAGGCAGTCTGTCATGCAAATACATCTGTAGTAAACAAAGCCTGTTCTTGCCCCCACTTTGCCTTTCTATTGGCCAACAAACATGATAAGCATCATCACTGCCCAGGACTTTGCCAATGCAACTGTGGGGCTGGTTGCCCAATTGTGCTGTTTTAGGGAAATGGGAAAATAATCTGAAGATGCAATTATGTAACTGGAATTGTCTGCTATGTACACCTTGGGCACCTTTTAGAAGGTGAGGCCACAGGATTACTGTGAGCCCTGAGTCACACTTGGTCATGAGTGTTTTTAGGTGATTTTAAAACATTTGTTTTGCATGTTTTTCAGGCATTTCCAGGCTTGAGCTTTTTTTAGTTTTAACCAAGGGAAAGCTAGTTACTAGGAGGAGATGTTTGTTAGGTGTGAAATCACTCGTTAAAGAGGAACTTTACCCTTATCTTTAGAATGACAACAAAGTCACCTTTAGGAATGTTTAGTGATGGCAATCTACAAATGCATACTTACAGATAATTGCCAGCTCTGTATGCTTTTGTATAGCTTTTCCCCATTCTCCTCACGGTGACTATTCTTACTAAAGAGAGATTAATATATTTCCCTTTACTTCCCGGAACTGTGACAAATGTGAATAGGCCATGTGACCATGCACATCATCTCAAGGTAAAAAAATACTTTTCCCTGAGATCTTGTGAGATTTTGCCATTTACAGACGAGATTTCCCTGCAGTGAATTGTGATGTAACCTTCCCAGGATGCATCACTTAGGCATAAGCAGACCAGGAAGTGGAAAAACAATAATTGTAAGTAAAATAAAAATAGGTTTATATAATTAATGTAAGATGATTTCATATCAGCATGTAGTGCTAAATGCTGATGTGATTTTTTTTTTCTTCTGTGTAAGGGGTTAAAGGTCCGCTTTAAGTGTGTTTTTCAGACATTCATGACGCACTACTGTTAAAGTCTGTGAGGCCAAAAACACGGGATTCTGCCCAAAAAAAAGCTCCTGTACTTTTCGAGCAACACAACACTCAGGTGTGAATGGGCACCATTGAAAATAATGAGATTCTTCATGCTGAGTGGTGTTGCGCTTTAAGAAAATACATGACAAGACGTTCAGGTGTGAATGGAGGCTAGAGTGTATTTCCACATTTGGAAATAGCGTCTACTTTATATTTATTCCATGTTCCCATTCGCATAGCATAGTTTTTTTTTTAAATGGCCGTTTTATGCTTTGCTTCCCTCGCTTTCCCCTTCTATGTTATGTTAAGGAGAGAGCTATGGAGTTAAAGGAGAACTATGGGGTAAGTGTTTTTCCCCATAGTTATCCTAAGGGTCACGGGAGGAAATAAACTAGCGTCCTCCCGTCACCCAAAGCTACAGCTCGCGCTATACTGGGTCCACCGCAGCCGGGACGGATCCCGACATTACTGTCGAGATCCAACCAGCTGCGTGATTGACAGCTGGCTCTGCCTATCTGGAGGCAGAGCCAGCTGTACCCGCCCCCTCCCCCATCCATTCTGCCAGTCAGCGCTGGAGTATCGGAGAAGAGAGGGGGGGAATCCCTGCAGGGAGCCGTGAGTGACAGTCACGGCTCTCTGCAGGGACATGATCGAGAAGTGAGCAAGCGACGGTATGTGTTCGCTCACTTCCTGATTTCCTGATCTATTGAGCCGACCTGTGACAGTCTCATTATCACACGTCGGCTCAAACTATGAGGTTGAGTGAAAATCACTCACCTCATAGTTCTCCTTTAAGTTATCACAATTAACCCTGTCTGTACTGTGTTGGCAGATCTCATTATCAGTTGTAACCTGGATGCGCACACTGTCCTAAGAAAGGGTTAAAGATCTCAAGGCACGGATGGTATATATTATGTTTTTTTTATTTTAAATTCTGTCCCTCAGTTTGTCCCCTTATCGCACATTGCAAGCTATTCTAAACAACAGAAGGTCCCTGTATACATCTCAAGGTTTATGTTCCAATGCTGAAGTGTCTCTTTCAATATTTTGGTTTAGGTTTTATATCCCAGGAAACCCAACCAGTCCCCGTAGCTGTGTCATAAAAGTGCATGCTGTGCATCATGTAATGATAGTAATTAAATATATTTTGATTTCCAGCTACTCCATAGCACAGGCCGTTGCCTTATTCAGCACAAAGTGAACCCAGGCGTATTCTTTGAGGGCAGAGAAATTGTAATGCTGGATAGAACAGATGTATAATTTCATACCTTCTGTGCCCTAACATTGCATTAAAATGCAGAGAGACTATTTTGGTTATAAAAGCACTTTTACTGTACGGAAAAATTAGGGTGGTGTATAATATAATTTATTACAGTATAAAGATACAAAATATGTTCAGTTTTGGAACACTGAAACCTTTTACATTTGCAGGGACAGAGCGGCCTTATGTAAAAGACGTCTTGACTTCCCAAAACCTGTGAAAAGTGTTTACTTGCGGTAGATATTTTTAGTGCGAGCATCAGAGAAAAGAAGATGTACTTTTTGAAGTTTCTTAAAGGGACAGGAAGCCTAAATTACAAGTTGAATATTTAAAGTGACACTGTCATAAAAAGAAAAACGTACTGGTATATGAAGTGCAGGCATCTAGAGAGACCTGTGCTAAACTCTAATCCCCTGCTTCTATGGCTGAAAGTTGGGCTATTCTGACAGTGTAGTGTTCGAGTGTGTCACTAACTCCTGCCTCTCACATTCTTATTGGCCCATCTCTCTCATGAGTTGCCTTACAGGCCAATATGAATGTGCAGAGGCAGGAAGGGGTGGTGGCAGGCTTTGCCATGGTTTTATTTTTTACTATATAATGTATCTGATGAATGATTGACTTATAAATGAAATTATTGACTTATAAATTGTGCTTATTCAATAGGTAGAGAAAAGGTAACATGCAGAGTGGGGTAACCGATATCAACAACCAGGGCTAAATGTGAAAAACTCACGGTGGCAATATACACATTACAATGTTAAGAGTAATAGAAAAAGGGCATTGCAGCCTTCACATGATGAAGAGATGACGATGGTAAAGCAACTTAAACTTTGCTTCGTTTAATTGAGTAGATTTAGTGCTGATATCACCAGGCTTACACTATTACAGGCTGTTACAGCATTGTGCAGATTAGCACAGTTTAGTAGTACACTTGGTATGTTGGTACCGGTGTTAGTTGAGCAATCCCACACATATGTCACACATTACAAGGTGTTACTAGTTAACCTCAGAGTCTCCTTACAGATTGCTGAGGACATTTATTTATTTATATGTGTGTATATATATATATACATATATATATATAATCTGCTTGTTAATTTAAAAAAATCTGGACAAACCTGGAAAGCAAAACAAGCAAAGCAAAATCTATGTTCAACTTTTTTTTTTTTTTTTTCCCTTGGGGTTT